GAGCTCCTCGACGCCGTTCTTGCCCATCTCTCGCCAAGAGAGCTCGCCCTCGTCGCCGGTACCTGTCGACACATCCACCTCCACGCCACGGCCGACAGACAATGGCTGCCACGCGTCCAGGCCAACGTTCCCGGCCTCGTCATCTCCTCACCATACCCATGTCGTACCTTCCGAGAGCTCTATGGTGCACATGACCCTCACTGGTTCCTCCCCAAGTACAAGATCTGGTTTTGCGACCGCAACCTCATGGGCAAGATCATCGTCGTCCGCTACGATCCTCGCCGTGGCTGCATCGAAGGCTACCAACTGCTCGCCGTCAGTCGTCGCCATGCGTCGTTTCAGCCTTGGCCAGCCAACAGCGACGTTGTCATTCATGACTTTCGGCCGCAGGTCAAGCTACACCTTGACAAACCAATCCTTCAGTTCCATGTCGGCGACGACCCCGGCATCCCCGCTGCGTTAACACCCCGCGTCACGTCCAAGTTCCAGGCCGAGACGCCCATGATGCTGGACAACCGTCCAGGTTACGTCTTCAGCAACCTCTCCCTCGCACGTCCCGTCAATGACGACGTGGCGACCGAAGCTCTTGCCAAAGCCTTTCCGTACGATTGCATCTGGCCCCCAAAGCCCATACCTGCAGAACACCGGGTTGCAGGCTTTGCCGCGGTGCCGACGGCTGTGGAGGCGCTCAATGAGAGGCCGCAGTCTCGAGCCGAGGCCTCGGATCGCGCCTTCCGCATACGGCAGTGGATGGATATGGCCAACTATGTCGGCTCCGACAGCCTACCGCCCATAGCAGTCATGCCGCCCCGTGGGCCGCCGCTCGGACCCCACATTGGCGAGGAGATCAATACGTATTCGACCCTGGACCCGGCCCTGTACACACCCACGGCACACAAGCCGTGGCGCGGCATCTGGGTCGGCGACTACAGCGGGCACGGGTGTGAGTTTCTTTTGATCAACCAACCCGACGACAAGGACGCGACCGACGAAGAGCTCGGGCTTGCGAGGAACGCCTTGGAGAGTGATGAGGATTGGGCGAAGCGGCAGCTCGAGGCCAGGGTGTACCGCGGCAGGCTTGAAGCCATCAAACTGACGGGAGACGCTAATGTGCCCCGCGGCGAGTACACCTTTATCGCTGAAGACCTGGGTCCCGAGGGGTCCGCCGGTGTCGCGACGGAGGAACCCTTTGCCGGAGCGCGCATCGTCAAGAGCAGGGGGCACGTGGCGAATACAGGATACTTTAGCGGTATGTTCTCACGGCTGCGCATCTCACTGATGCACATGTCACTCTACTGCATGCAGATCGGCCGGGGTGCGTGATTCGCTGACGTGCTCCAACAGACAAGTACATCCCTTCACAGCTGTTTTTGATATCGCCGAATAAGCTGGCGCAATTCTGGGTGGACTTTGGGCATATAAGCTATTTCGAGCGCGTCGACATTGACAGTCTGTTGACTGTATCATGAGCATGAATGAGAGAGGCAGGGCGGCCCCTCAGGTTACGAAGAAACAAAAAGTACATGGCTTCACGGCAAAATGGGCATACAAATGTTGGTTTTTTACCCCAGGGTAGGCGACTTGAATTTTTACAGAAGCCTGCTAGCTACCCTCTGTGACTATCTACTTTACGTCGTGTCCCTTTTCCTCCTATCACGCTTGTCCTTGTTGTTTTTACAATGTGCCGCGCATGGTTTGCCATGTGTTTCTTACCCGGTTAGCTTGACTTACCGCATCGTCCTCGACCATGAAGTCAGACCCGAGTTTCTGTTGGCCTGGGTTAGCCACGGCGACCACAGGCTCCGCAGATCATGCCGCCGTACTCGTTGCGGTACCCGCAGACGCAGGTCCAGGGGTTATCAGCATTGACGGGCTTGGGAGCCTCAACGGCCTTGGCAGCAACGGGCTTGCCGTTGGTGTTCGTGTGGGCGTTGGTGCTAGCATCGACCATGGCGGTGCCGTTGGTGTTGCTGGCGATGAGGTTGGTAAGGTTGCACATGGTGGCTTTACCTTTTGTGAATGCTTGTTTGTGTGTGTGTGTGTGTGTGTGGTATCTTGTCTTGTTTGCTTGTGATGGCTTGATGAGGAGAGGAAAGAAGACAGGACATGTTGCGCGCTTCGCCTTATAAGCAGATGCGCACAACGTCGTGTCACCACCGCTGCGCTCGGCGCATGGCGCTGGTGCGCGAGGAGGAAGGTTGTGATGATGGACCGTGGGCGTTCTTCGCGGCCATGGTCTTCAGACATGGCTGTTGATGTGGGCCGTGATGGATGAATCTGAAAGGCGCGCCGGTGATCTTGATGAGGCGTGTTGATTCGCGGGGGGAGGGCTTGCGGTACACGGTCAATAGCTTCGTGAACAAACGTTCACCGGGTTGTAACCCCCCCTCGAGCGTTGGTGTTCGCGTATGATGTTGCTGGTCTGGCAGCAAGGCCCTTTCCATTATCCTGTAGCAGTTTCCAGGCTGACGATTCATCGATGGGCGGGTCAATGACGCCATGCTCGGCCATCCCTCCCGCACAACCTCGTCCTGCCAGCTCACCGGCTGTCGACGAGGACAGGCCCGGGACGCTCCGCTCCGGTGCCTAACACCAGACTCGGAATCAACATCTTTCGCACAAGAATGGAGCTGGCAAAGCAAGAATGATAATAGGCTTTGTTCGCGCAGCACGCCGCAGGAATTCCACCAACAGCCACGCCCAGGCGGTGCTGCGCGCTGCACAAAGAAGGGCACAAAGGGGCAGGACACGTTCCCTTCGCGTTGCGATATAAGTTGGCAATTCACCCCCATTGTGCGTAACATAATCGGGAACAAATCGTACCGTCACAGTCTACATTCACCGGTCACCCTCTACAGCTTCCAATCCTTCAATTGCTTCTTCGTTTCATCGCTGTCCTAGTCAAATCTACGGGGCACACAACCATGACGTCCCATCGCAACCTCGAGGCCATCGTGGCAGTCCGCGGCCGGAACAGCCTCGGTCGCCGGCTCCTTCACTTCTGGCAAGACGAGCCATCTAGAAATTGGTCCTTTTGCCGTTCTCTCCCAGCGGTGGCCCCCGCGCAGACGACCGCTACCAGCCGACATCATGGCGAGTTTGACCTCTTGAGCCTTTCTGAGACGGGCGCCACGATGCGTTACGCCCAAGCCAATGACGATGCAAAAGTTGACACTGCCAACGCTGATGATCAAGTTGACAGCACCTTCGTCGTGCAAGAGTTGCATCGAAAGGCAGATGCCGTGTTCCTCGGCAGGGGGGAACGGCCAATCGTTGTGATGCAGTTCAGCAAGGGGAAGGACGTTGTGTCCCGCTCACGTCCGAATCAAGCAAAGCATGCCATGCGATCCCCAATGACAGTTCGCTTGATAAGAGACAGCACCGCGGAAAATCTTGTCCTTGGGAGTAACGGCTCCGTCGCCAGATTCCTCCGCATGCCCGAGTCGAATTCGTGGGTCAAGCTGGCGCGATACCGAAGCTTCTGCACGCCAGCACCGATGCATTCTCTATCGCAGAGGCCGGAGTGTTGGATGTTACTGGAAGGAGCGATCAGATCGTGGCATGCGCCCGATGGAGGAGCGCTCGCGAGGTCGCGGTGTCGAAGAACGCAGCAGTCGGGGCGAGACATGGATCTTGCCCAGTCCGTGGCGGCTTTGTCTGATCAGGGATTCAGTCCCGGATCAGTCGTCTTGGGTCGCTCAACATGTCTTCCTCGACTTGTGGTCTGTGAGATGATCGTTTTCAAGCCTCTGTCCGGCTTCTCAGAGTACCTCCACATCATACTACAGTGGACGCGATCCCTTACCGGAGGCTGGACGGTGAACGGCGTCTGTATACCGCTTAGATAGCAGACTGTTCCTCGAGGCACATGTCATTCGTCACTTCTTTGTCTCATGAATCATAAATCATTACTGTGGTTGAAGTGCCTGTCTAGTGTCAGTAATCCGCCCTCATGGACACTCCCATTGATTAAACTTACAATGGCGAACCTGCTACGCGACCGAATCCGTTGTCCGAAAAACACCAACGCCCACGGTATAACCGTCAACGCCGTGGCGATGCCGCCCAGCAACGCACCGGCCCGCGCCTCCCCCAGATTCGTGAACAACGCCCCCGTGACCAGCGGAAACGCACCTCCTAGCAGATTCCGGCAGAAAGACTGCGCGGCGAGCGCCGACGAGGCGTACATGTGGTAAATGTCGGCAAAGTAGTTGAAAGTGGCGAGGTACACAGAGTAGATGCCCCAGGTCGCGAGCCCGATGCCGAAAGCAGGCGCGATCCAGTGCGCGTCGGAGCCGACGGTGAAGCCAAAGAGGAAGAGGCCGACCGGCAGGAAAGTCGCGGTGAGGCAGGTGAAGTAAAGCCGCGACTCGGGGGCCTCGGCTGGGAAACGCCGCCTCATGAGAAGCCAGAACGAGGAATGTGTCTCGACAGGGCTGTCGGCTCGCCATTGGGGCAGGGCCAGAAGGCGATCCTGGTAGATGCTGACGACGGTGCCGACGCAAGCACCAACAATCATGGAGCCGAAGAAGTATCCCGACTGTTCCATATTCATGCCGCGTACGCGAGAAAACGCCAGCGGGATGGTGCCAAAGGTGCAGTAGAGCACCGCCCAGGCAAAGGCACACCAGAGGGAAAAGAAGAAGACGACAGGTTCGGCGACTAGCAGGTGGAACGGCCGAATCATCGATGTCTTCATCAGCTGCGCCAGGGAAGCGCGCTCTTCGTCCTCCTTCACGAGCCAGCGCAGGCGGACTGTTGTTGTCATCGCTCGAGAAGGCTGGTCGGCGGCAGTCCACTGGCAAGAGGCAAGTTTTTCGTCGCTGCCCGACGTCGTCGTGTCGCTACTGTCGCTCAGAATCTCGGGTTCCTCGAACCGACAACCGTAGACGCCGGCATCCTCCAGTGCCTTGTACCATTCGTTAAGGACCTTGGCCTTGCGCGACAGCAAGACAGACCCACGACTCTCGTCCAAGAAAAGGACGATCAAGACGACCAGCACGGCGTCTACGATGACTTGGTGCCAAAATACCCACTTCCAGGCAAGAGTCTTATTCCCGATCCTGCTCATCATAACGGCGGCAAGGAGGGGCCCTGCACCAGTGCCAGCCAGGACCGAGCCGCTGAAGAGGGCCATCGGGGTATTGCGCGTATCCTTGGTCCACATGTCGGCAATGATGCCCCCAATGACGGAGCTGAAGACGGCTCCTCCGATGCCCACGAAAAGGCGGGCGATCAGCATGCCAGCCAGGTTCGGCATGACTGAACAGACAGCCTGGAAAGCAACATAGGTTATGCCCGAGGGAACAAGCACGATTCTTCTGCCGTAGATTTCCGAGATGGGTGCTAGTACCATTGGTGAGAGGGCAAAGCCGATGCAAAACGTTGTGATGCCGGCGATCATGGCAATGTTGGACGAGCCGAGGTCCTCTGCCATGGCTGCGACGGGAGGAGAGTACGAGCCGGATGTGTATGCCGTAAGAAAAGTCGCCGCGCAAGACAGGGCCAGCACGAGATGCTTACGATGCTGGGGCCACTGCAATGGTGAGCCGAACTTGGAGTCGTCGGGACATGGTGGCAGGCGTTGCTGCGCATCCACGTCAATATCGGCGTAGCGTATACTAGGCAAAAGAGTCTCAAAGCCGAGATATCGGTAGGTGATGGGTGTGTTGGCGTCAAGGTCCAAAGAAGCTGTGGGTTGTCGGTTCTCGCTCATGTCTTCCTGCGTTGAGCGCCTGCCCTTGGACCGAGGCGCATCGATAGCGCTCTGCATGCTGTACAGGATGAGGATTCATGCGTGATATTGAGAATGATCCTCAAGCATGGAAGCCGCCAGGTAGCGAAGAGATTCGTTCAGTGGAGTGCGCTGGAGGAGAAGTCCAAGGGCCCGCCGGCCCGCAGTCGATTGGGGGTCCTGGAGCAGATGAAATACTTTGACATGACGAGTTGAATCTGAGCGCCGAGAGGCTAACTTATGCTCGTGGTGGCCCGGTGTGGACGGGAATAACAGGGTTTGCGAGCTCGCCGCAGGGCTCCTACCATGGACGTTTACAGCACTGTTGAAGAACTAGAGAGGGCGGTCAGGAGGTGGATCTGGCGGAGAAGCAACAAGGATCATAGCCCATGCGGTGTCGTGATGGTGGACTGGGCGCGTTGGAGATCGAGTATGCGTACAGCGGGTAGGCTTGCGTGCCTTGTGGTCAATTTCCCCGCCCCCTTCGTCATGCGCGAGGGTCCTGCCTTTTACGGCGCGAGCCATCTTGTCGCTTTGCATCTCCAGGATATTTCCGGCTGCACTGCACAGCTCAGCCGCCCAGGAAGTCCGTGGGACAGATAGACCAGATGTCTGGGCCTTGTGGGGAAGGGCGGAGAACACTTATTGCCGTGTATTTCCGCCGTGGCCGACGTTCCGCGAATGGTTCCGGGATGGGAGACCTGACGACAGCTATCATCAGTAAAAAAAAAAAAAAGCATCTTCACGAAGAGGTATCTGCCCTTAGCGCATGGCTGAAGATAATTGGTTTCAATTCTTTTTTTTCTCAATGCAGTCTGTTTCTTATGCTTCCGATGTATCATCTGACAACCGTTCATCCCGAAGTCTCAGATTCTAAACTCAAGTTTGCGAGTCAATATCAAGCGCAGGCTGCCCGGCACCTATGTACGCGCGGAGACATCAGTTCCATTGCTTGGAAGCTCCACCGGATATTTCTGTTGGCCGTTGACAGGATGCGAATACTCGTCGTGGCTCGAAGCGGGAATGGACGTCTCGTGGTATGCCCGGGCTTCCTGGATTCCGCCTGAGCCGTGCTGGCTGCCCTGATGGTGCAATTCGGCCGGAAAACCGGCAGCGGGGTCGGCCGCATACCGCATGGGGTAATCGTAGGGACCGCGCTGGGCAACTGTATCCGTGGCGGGAACGGGAGTACCTGTAAAAGGCGGCTGCTCGTCTTTGTTGCGATTTTCCTCGTTCCAGTTCCGCTGGGTGCTGACATAGTTTTGGCAAAGCTCAATGACTTCATTGTTAGCCTTTCTTCTCTTGTAGCAACGCTTGAGGCGAGGCACGACTATGGCCATCATGAAGAGAAAAAGCGCGAAGACGCCGACGGCAGCGATGATGATCACGACGTGCTTGGTTTCGACCTTGTCCTTCGCCTCTGCAGCGGCAGCACTGGTGGCTGCAGGTTCAGCGATCGACCTAGAGGCAGGGGCAGTTGCAGTCTTGATAATGGTCTCAACGACAGTGGACACCTCATGCTCCTCGGAGGTTCTAACTTCAGTAGAGACTTGAGTAGCTACAGTGGTCAGGATGCTTCTCCTATACTGAGCGCTGGCGCACGGACTCACAGGTATCCACGAGGGAAGTCACGGGCTGGTTTGTGACGGTGCCTTCGGTAACGGTTGTGGTCGTTGTGATCGTCCTTGGACCATCAACACTGTGAGGACGATGCCACTCCAAGGTGGTGCTGGTGAAATAAAGAAGCGTGACTGTCTTGTCTCGGTTGCTAGAGGTTACAATGGTCGTGGGGTTGCCCCACTGCCAGTTGGGATCGGTAATGGTCAGGGGATAGTCGACGTCCTTGTCGTCGTCAGCATTCTGGCGCTTATGGTTGCCCTGAAGGTATTCGGAAATAGCAGCGGGCTTGAGAAACTCTGTGACAAGGGTGGTCTGCAGAAGCTTCCGCTGCCTGGCAGAGGCAGCCAGAGGGGTAGCCTGGTCACTCTGAGCGTGCTGGTTGTCTTCATTGTTCTCGAGGATCCGCTTGTGGTCAGAACTAAGGCAGGTCAGAAGCTAAATAACCAAAAATATGTGCAGGAGTTACGCGGAATGACTCGTACCTCGGACTGTTACGCTGCAGAAAGAGTCGGTCCTTGGCAAGCGCATCGACTTGGTCTTGGTAGGCCATTCTGTCCAGCAGGCCCACCAGAGTGTGGTGGTGACGATGAAGGGAGGAATGTGTGCGACCCTATGAAGAACAGTTTTGGATGCGTTTACAAGGTGACGAGTGGTGCTATCGTAGGAGAAGGCACAGGAAAGGGATGCACCAAATGCAATATCTGCGTCGGCGGTTGTATGCGGAAGGAGAGAACGAGGTTTTGGGATCGATACCACAAAGGTTGTTGCTCATGTGCAGGTAGTAGGGAAGAAAAAGACTGTATTCACTAAGGCAGCTGTCTGCCTTCTGCCGTGTTGCCTGCAGAGGCGTTTGGGCCATGGCACGCGTGAATAGGGAAGGCACGGTTGAGCACGAAGAGGAAGTCGCCATGCGAGTCTGGTGGGGACCTCCCAGGGGTTGTTTCCTCTGCGGTATCACTGTCCTTCTATGATAGAGCAGAGCAAATGCGGATGAAAAAGGAAATAAGAGCACTGAAAGAGCCTTTCTTCTCGTCGATTGCTGCGAGTCCCCTTATGTTTGGTTATCGTCACGCGATCCCCCCCTCAGCGTCGGCCTTCGAACACCAACCAACCTTGTAAATGCCCCGTTTCGTCCCCTCAACTCCTCACAGGTCCCTTCCTCAACCACGCTGCCGTCCTCCAAAACCAAGATTCTCTCGGCGAGCTGCATCATCTCCCGAGCATGCGTCACAATGACAACCGCCATGCCAAATTCGCCCGCCTCGGCTATCAGCCCTCGAATCGTCCCCTTCACCATCTCCGCAGTCTCAGCATCCAGCGCGCTCGTGGGTTCGTCCATCACCAACAATTTCGGCCGCCTCGCCAGGGCTCGCGCGATACACACCCTCTGGGGCCTGCCCTCCCCGAGAGAGTCTGTCCCCCCCTCGCCGATGAGGGTGCTGTAGCCTCCAGGCAACGAGATGACGAAATCGTGAATGCCGGCCGCTCGCGCTGCATGATCGAGACTCGCCTGGCTGCGGAGCGGAGAAGCATCGGGCAGACCGTATGCAATGTTCTCGGCGATTGAGGCAGGGAAGAGGAAAGGGGCCTGGGGAACGAAGGCCATGGCTGAGCGAAGGTGGTGTTGGTCAATGTCCAGAAGGGCCTGCCGGCGAAGGTGAGCTGTGGGCGCTTCTCGAAAGAGACAAGGGTCGGAGGCGGCGGGGAGTAGATGCCCATGAGGAGAGATATCAGCGTGCTCTTGCCACAGCCCGAGGAACCGACTATGGCTGTGCAGGTGCTGGCCTTGATTTCGAGGGAGAGGTTGCGGAGGACCTGATGCGCGGGCCGAGATGGATATGTAAAGTTCAGATTCGCCATCTTGATCGGAAGAGGCGAGGCAAGCTTGCCAAGCCCCGTGTCGAGGTCTTCCTCGTCAGAGGAATGTATTGGTAGGGCGGCGTAGTATAGCATCTGCGCTGCCGTGGCTCGAGCTGCGGCCAGCTGAGGAATTGTTCCGAGTAGAGATCCTGCTTGGCCCATGGTGAAGAGAACAAGGTTGGACACCTGCTGAATCTGCGCTGTCCCTGCCTCGTACGTGCCCACAAGTACCATGGCGTAGTAGAACACAAGAGCCAGCAGAAAAAAGTTGACGGCTTGATACAGGCCGAAGAGAGGCGAGGTGTACGCCGCCCGCCGGATGCCGAGCTTGAAGGTGGACTCAGCCGACTTGTTATACTTTTTTGACATGTAAGCCTCGAGAGTTAAATTCTTGACGACGCGGATATTGTTGAATGTCTCGGCCAGCACGGCGCTCGTGTCTGCTGCGCCCTGGTTGCAGGTCGTCTCCCACTTTGTACTTGTGTAAGAGAAGGCCTTGACAGTCGCCATGATGGCCGGGCCACCTGACAGCGCAACCAAAGTCAGTTTCCACTGCACAAGCAGCGCCCAGATGAAGGCCGTAAGCACCATGAACGTGACGACAATGATGATGGGGGCAAAGCGGCCGACGATGTTCCGCATCTCCTCGGCGTTCCTGTCCATGCACTCCGTAATCCGACCAGCTGAGTGCTTGGGCTTATCGAACCACAATCTGGGCTGCTGGAGGATTCGCTTCAATGCCTCAATTCGCAGTGCATTGACCCAGGCCTGACCCGAAAACTCCATCAGGTATCTGCCCAACCAGGTGGAAAGTCCATCGATCACTGCAACAGCCACCATGACGACGGCCCATTTCTGGCCGACTGAGCGCTGTACGTCCTCATCCGCCCAGAAGGTCTCGAGGAGGCGGGTGAGGGCGAACGCGAAAAGAGGTCCGGAGACAGCGACGACGATGCAGAGTATGATTCCAGACAGGAGCTTGAGGCGGTCAGGATTCGACAGTTGCGCCCAAACCGAGCGCGAGAGCGCGATGGAGGACGGGTTCGGTAACACATTCTGTTGCGTATCGGCCATCACCATATTTGGGCGAGCAGCTTCAGGTCCACATCGGGTGTCGAAAGCCTTTTTGTCAGGTGGCAGAGGGTGAGAAGTTTGCCGCCATGATTGCCGACTGGCAGGCGTGCCAATCCGAAGATGTTGGATGTTCACTCCCGCCATCTGCACAAGGTCCAAGCTGTGCCTCCAAGAAGACGTGGTTTCATCGTAGCCGCTACTCATCGGTCGCGCACGTGCTTTTACCGCCCCCTTACGGTTCTCGTCAAGTACAGACGCCTCTCCGTCTGCTACATGCCACGACAGACCTCGACTGAACCTCATTCGGCTCCGAGAAGGGGTGTCCCAGATCCGCGTCATTCTAAGTTCTGTTGCACGTGTGGTTCCATGTCCGAGAGAGAAAGGTCGTGACGAATGACCGGTATCGGGCCTCTCGAAGGCCTGGTCTAGTTCCCGCATGATCATCTTTCCCACGAAGGATGATTCCCTAGGATTTGATACCAACGAACTTTCATTATCGGTGAATGACTCTTGGAGTGGCGATGGAATGTCCGCCGAACCCTCGCTTTCGATATCCTCGTCATGCAAAGCAGAAAGAAGTGCGGCAAAGAAGCCACCCTCGTCGACAGAGATATCTCTTCGGTAGCCTTCTTGTACGAGACGACTCTTCTCCATGACGAAGACATAGTCGTCGTCCTTGATCTGGGAGACATCATGCGTGATGATGATGGTCGTTTTGTCCCGGCGCCAGACGCGGATAGCCTCCATAACGAGAGTCTTACTAACAAGATCAAGTCCGCTTGTAACCTCATCGAGGATGAGGATAGAAGGGTCGCGCAGCCTGGCACGGGCGAGGGCGATGCGCTGCTTTTGCCCCCCACTAAGGCTGTAACCTCCAGTGCCAACGGGTGTATCGAGCCCCTGATGCATAGCGGCAATCGTTGACTGTAGTATGGCTGTGTCGCAGGCTGACCTGACCTCGTCGAGGGTGACATCGTCTGGAGATGGGTGGCCGAATGCCACGTTGCGGAAGAACGTCTCGTTGAACAACACGCTTGTTTGCTGGATGAGAGTAATATTCCTTCGGATCCATTCGTCATCAAGATCTTGGAGAAGATGATGGTCGACCAAGACGGTTCCAGTGAGCGGTTCATAAAAGTTGACGAGAAGATTGCCCAATGTGCTTTTTCCAGAGCCGCTTTTACCAACGATGAAGCACGTCTCGCCAGCACGAAAACGAAAGGATGATTTCTGGAGGACAATCTGGTCGGGATTCGAGGGGTATGCGAAGCTCACCTACCAAACGGTCAGTCTAGAAGATCTCCACACATGCAACGGTCGACTTACATCATTGACTTCAATATCCCCAATGCAGCAGCTCGGCTTGTGGGTGCCAACACGCTTCTTTCCCCTGTTAACATACGCGCCAGTCTGTCGAAGCGACTGACCAGCCGCCATCCCCTTAGCCAGTACAAGCCACTGCGGCATTAGATTCTCAATGCCCTGCAGGGCAGTCAAGGTGGCATAGAACGTCGTCAAGATCTGGGCCGGGCTCGCGCCCTCTTGCACCAGCACAATCCCATACCAGAAACCCACCGCGAACAGGCTGACGACCCAGAACTTAGCGTAGCCCATCTGCACCGCGTTGCAGTGCGCCTGTACGAGGTATTGCTTCATCGAAGCGTTGATAGAGTTGAGGTAGTGCCATACCTCTGTGTCGAAGCCGTTGTAGATCTTGACGAGGTCGATGCCCGTGATCGACGAGTTGGCGTACTTGGTCGCTTGGGAGAGGTGGGCCTTCTGTAACTGGATGGCGGATTGGAGGCGACGAGTTGCCAGAGTGAGCGCAACTATCGAGATGGGAACAGTGGCGAGCAGGACCAGAGTGAGCTTCCAGGACATGTAAAAGCTGACGATGAGACAGGCGACGGAGACGACGATATCGCTTATGAGAAAGCCAAGAACCTGGGATGTGGCGATTTGTAGTTCACGAGTTTGTCTGCCATGTTAGATGCCATTGATATCGGTGTGATCACAAGAAAGGGAGACTTACGACTCGATCCGCACGAGAAGACTGGAAACGCCCTCGGACTGGGAGTCGTACCAGGACATGTCTTGTTTAAGGAGGCTCTTGAACAGTTGTTCGCGAGTGCTCCTGGCCTGCAGCTCGCCGAAGAGAACCCAAGAGGCGAAAAAGGCGGTGTTGGCAGCCCAGTGACCGGCTCCAAGCCCGCAAAGAATTACACTCAGGGCTGCCGTGCGTTTAATAGTCTCTGGGCCTCCGACGGAGCCGTCGGCAACATCGACGGTATACTGGAAGAAGAGACCGAGAGTGACGGCCAACGAAGTTTTGAATGCCCCGATGGCACATGAAGCGATGACTGCCGGGACGAGAGCGACACAGTGTGTCCATCTGGTGAAAGCAAAAAGATCTCTCCACGATACTTTGACAGCTGCGGCAGACTCCATCTGATCTGGATCTTTGGAGATGTTATGCGATGGCTGTCGTTTACGATGAATTCAACGATCTTTCGTCTTGAACGATGGATAATTTCTTCGACCACAAGTGTTGTCGGTCCGTTGAATATCCGATCTTTGCGATGGAGGCATATCTGAACATGAGATTGATTGGAAACAGAAAGAGATGGAATCATGTTCATGTGCCAAGCAGATTGGCAACCAGAGCAGGGCTGCGCGTAGGAACAAGGAACGATTCGAAAGCACGAGCATTGCGGCAGGTCGAGAGATTATTCAGGTTGAATTTTGGCCGAGGACCAGCTTTCATTGTGGTGGTTAGGAGTCTTCATATTGTTCTGGGCGCCTGTGGGGCCAGGTGTTGGGGAACAATCGTACACCACAGGGGAAGAAGGTCCAGCTGAACAGCACACTTTCCTGATATGCGCTCATGATTAGTATGCACAGTGGATGTGAAAGACTGAAATGTTTGCGATTTCTGCGTTGGACTGTCCAATAATTCCGTGATCGTCGTTCAGATCTGGGTATAGAGCAGCCGGAATGCAGCAACGATTTACCTTGGAGGTAGAGCTTCGTTTGGTATCGACCAACTTCGAACTGGGCGTAGGTGCAATCAAAACACTCGTCTTGGGAGTAACGAGGTTCAAAGAGGACATCTCTGGTCACACTTGAGACACAAAGAAATCAATAGCTCCAACCATTTCTCCATGTTGGTGGCTAAGGGCGAGGTGATCCCTCGATATTGCAACCTCAAAGCCATTCTCGTGGTGTGTGCCACCATTTCAGCCTGAGTCGCTCGATGCGTGTGCCACCGAGGCGCCCAGCGCCACCATGGCATGTCGGATCAATCAGATGATATGGCGCCGTGGTTTCCGGAATGGTGTCGCACAGTTTTTGCAGGTAGCCGGAGTCGACGGAGTCAGAGAGATCTGTGCCCAAGGCTTGTCATTTCATTCATAAACCACCCGCTGCCTAGCTAGATGCCTTCTTGGCCTTCTCCGCCTGCGCCTGCTCATAGATCCAGTCGTTCAATCCCTTGCGGTTTCGCGCAATCTCAACGGCGTAGAACTGCATGCGCGGCACAAAGATGACCTCGTTCTGGCCGTACTCGAACTTGGGCCCCGTGCGCATCATGGTGCCAAAGTTGTAGTCATCGACGCGCTTGTCGTAGGCCATCATGAAGTTGCGCCACCTCTCCTTGCCCTGCTTGCTCTTCATCTTGTCTTCGTCGATCGTCTCGGCGGGGTCGAAGTCGGGAAAGTCCTTCAGGAGGTGCTCGTAGATCTCGTCGTCGAACTTGGTCAGGCGCAGGGTGGAGCCCTTGACCTTCTCGAGGATGGACCAGTACGTCTCCATGTGCTGAACGGCCTTGACGGCAAACTGCTTCTCGATCTATTGGGAGGGCGCATCTTTTATTAGCATTTGCCATTTTCGTGAGTAAAATGGAGGCAGGCGCGCTCACATCCTCGAGGTTGTCGGCCTCCGCAGCATTGAAGTTGGACGGGACGTTCTGGGGTGTGAGCTGAACGTCGTCGATATCCATGATGGGCTATGTCCGTCAGATAATTTTGCGGGTGTTCTTCTTTTTCTTGGAAGGTCGCGATACTGCTGTGTAGGGTTGTAGTTGATGTGCGGAAACAGATCGGCTGTGGTGTTGAGGTTTGCGCAAATCTTTGACATGACCAAGTGTAGGTCGAAGGTGGGGTGTGGGGTTCTGGCACCGTCGAGAGCCTTCACCGAGCTTCGGTGTACCGCGGGACAGCACAGTTATTATGCACAGTATTTCGAGTGAACATCACTGTGATGACGACATGTGAACTGCAAACCACAAACCACCAGAACACCACAACATTGAAGTCGCGATACAAGCACCGTGCGTCTCAATCTTGAGGCCTTCTGCTTCCCGAGTGGTCAAAAATCTTTTCAAAAAAGTTCCTGAATAGAATTTCAATATCCAATATTGGTGCTGCTACTCGTCATGCAGCGCACACGGAGATGCGATTACAAATGACCGACCTGTCGTGCGTTCTGAAACTCAATCCCCAAGGTTGTGGATGTCATCTTCTCATAAAGTTTGTCAACGGAGAAAGGCAAAGAGGTTAAGTCCATCAAAGCTTCCCAATGTTTATTTCGCGTCACAATATATAAGTATAAGATCGGACCCAGACCTGCTGAAGTCGCTCACAACCCTGCTCCCACCCCGTGTCGAGCAACATGAGTAACAGCCTCCTGTGCCATCATCTGCCAACCCGATCTTCAGATAATCAGACGATATATAACTCGACGATGGATTTCTTGAGAGAACTCGCACCAATCCGGCTTGCAAAACGTCAGCTCGAAGCCGCTGGCCCTCCCCCCTACGAAGCACATCTTCCCACAGCCGACGAAGCTTCAGACTCCAAACAAAGCTCATCATCTTGGGCAATTCGCCGTTACCTTCCCCTGAATTCAGCTCTCGATGCAGCACGACCCGGCACATTGCAGATGAGAATTCATCCAGCCAATCAGCTCGTCCCCGAGCACCAAAAACGTCCGGGCCAGCAAACTTGGGTCGCCTTCCTGCGCATCGATACGCCGGATCTTCCTCGGCTTATGAGAGAAGGCTTCCACTGGAGCAGCGCCAATGTGGACAGGGGTGGAAGTTACATGTCGGAGACATACAAAAATTTCCCAGACCGCGTTGTCGAGGCATTTCCTGGCCACGCAATTAAGTTTTGCGTACGAAT